ATCTAAAAGGTGGGAGAGCAAAGGGCTGGGCCATGAGTCTTTAGGTGTCATAATCACCTTTTTATTTATTTATTTTTTTCCTGCTGTCACTCAGTGCTGTGCGCCCTGCTGGCTGTGATTACAGGATTGATTAGGGCTGGAGACTCAGGCAAACCCACTGCTTATGTCAAACTCAAATGGCATGGCCCATGATCTCCTCTTATCTATCTTTTTTAGGGGCATATGGAGGGATGAGTTTATTCATTTAATTTGAATATAATTGCAATGACACTAAGTTTGCAATTGATGTGAACCTTTTAACCTGTCTCAAGTAATGTGTATTAAAGTGTGTTGTAAAATACCAATAACTTTTCTGTGTGGCTCTGGATATGTTGTCCATTTGCTGGTCAGTTGTCAAAGCTCAGACCAGTTGACATAACAGTACGATTATTATCAATATTCATCCTGAAAGACTGACTAGCAGCCAGTGCACTGAACATTGTTAGAAGCACATATTTTAAAATGTATAAAACTGATATCACAACACATACTATTTTTGCAATCATCCTCAAACCACAAGATAGTTAATCTCTTAACTACTTTCATGTGAATTGTGTGGATGGCATTTCTCTCCATAATTAATGCTGTGACACACACACAGCCTTACAAACAGCTGCTGAGTGCTCTGTGGTATTATAATGGTGTTCATGGTAGGCTGCTTATTTGGTGTTGGTATGCTTTGGTTTTCATAACCTTTGGATGCCTCCCATCCTTGTCCTATGGAGAATGGAGGACAATGATCTGCCCTATTAGAGATGAATAATGAGCCTGTTGGCAAAAGAGACGTGGCTAATGTTTTGTCCAAATATCTCAAATCTGCCCCCAATGATAATGTATTCCACTCCAGTGCCAAACAGCTCGCCGTCTGAAGAGGTGATTTCATTGCAGATATGACGCAGAAAATATTGAGAGAAAAAAGTGCTTGACGTACACTGCAATGTCTCACAGTTGTATAGGATTAACAATAAGAGCTTTGTTGTGTTTTGATGGAATGCCGATGGCGCAGCATGGCTTTGTTTGCTTATGATAATGAAAGAGATGACCTGTTGTGCCCTAATCTAGTGGGGAAATGGCAATCGGTGCTGTGGGGACCGAAGCACTGATCTGACTCAAGTGCCTATTTTTCTGTCTTTGGAGTTTTGAGATTAACCGCGCAAAATATAAATAAATAAATCAATAAATAAAGACAGAGTGACATTTCTCAACATCATTTGGAGATATTAGATTCTGTATGTGCAGCACACCAACATTTAGCTAAAGGCTTTTATTATTCTACCAGAGTAATAGTGCTCAATGTGTTTATATTGGGCTCCTGGGGCTTACTGTTGCCTAAACAGCTCCACTGTTATTCCCCTAAGGAGTGTTCTGTGCAATAACTATTAGAAGTGAAGGCTTAAACAAAAACAAACTTGTGGATTGTAATAGATGTGCTTGTGTAGATGAGCTTTTTCTCTAGAGTGCCGGAGACCTCCTATGGTTTTACATCAAAAGTATTGTGCACCACCGCGAGTACCGGTGTCTTCTATAATTTGATAATGGTTTAAGAGTTTGAGTTAGAGATTAACTGGGGGACAATAGGAAAAGTTGGAAAAACCTGAAATCCTTAGTCCTTTTATTACCCAGATGCTAACTTCTGTGACCAGATTTATTACAAAATATGTCCAGTACATTTAACTTAAATTAAAATTCCTATGTGCACATCACTTGTTTGTCATGGTTCATTTACTTAAAGCTACCATCTGTAATTAAATTGGCTGACCCTGCCCTGTATTCTCACACACCATCTCTAGATGTGTTCTATGCTGTAACTACTAACATTGGCCTGACAAAAGAAGGTGGTGGGAGAAACAGGGGTCAGCCATCTGCCATCTACTGGTAAAAAAAAAATCAAATAAACTTCCCTTGCCTTACTCAAAATTGTATATTGTTTCATGCATGAGTTGCATTGAGTAATCCTATTTTGTTGTGAATTCCAGCTTTTCCTATCCACACCATCATCCTTGGATAGTAGGATTATATGAAAAATCATGTGACACGTTTAGGACATCAGTTATCAATTCTAAACTGTGTATAAACTGAAAAATATCTTGTGCAGTTTGTGGGCATACTGCATGTGATTTACCATTGGGAAGTGCATGTGTTATTCCTGTCTCAAAATTGATATGTAAAAGAGAGTGCAAAGGTTTGCATCCCTCTGCTCCTGTTGTCTATTAAATTGTTGCAGTGTTGCGTAAATTTAGGCTCGTCCCTACTTCAGAATAGTTTCACATAGCTTTTGGATTAAGTAGGGCTGTCGCAATAACAGCAAAAATTAATCACTGTGGTACTAAGAGGCCCACCACGGTGCATGTTGGGATACAGCGATCACTGCACGTGACCAATGTAACCTGACCCAGAATTCTGCACGGGTCAATTTTTAGAGACCCGCACCTGCTCGGACCCATTAAGATTCCACCTGTTACCGCCCATGCCGGGGATCACCCAGGACTAACCCAGGACTAACCCAGGGCTAACCCAGGACAAACGTACACCTGCGTAGACCGTCGGGTGTCTGCAGGCGAAAGGACTGTGGCAGAGCTCCACACACATGGAGTTAAGTGCGGCCATCGCCTGATTGCGCTTTGCAGACACCTGCTCCACGTGCTCAGGGCTCTCTCTCTTAAGTTCACACTATATCCGCGCGACAACCAAGGTACATGTGCATCTGCACAACAAGCCCATCATCAGAGAGAGTTTTCAGAGCCACTAGAAATATTGTAACTCCGGGGGATATGGAGTGGAGGAGGGGGTGCGATATCACCGCATATACCGCTGTTGAGCCGCTATACCGTACTACAGAAGAAATTTCTTAACCACGACAGCCCTAGGATTAAGGACCATCTGATGGGGAGTAGTGAAAATTTTGAACACCAAGTTTACACCTGTCTCTCCAATGTTTAATCACACAGTTTCCTTTAATAGTTGTAATAAATCTGGCAGCACCCGTCAACCAACTTCATTTGCTTTTCCTCCACCTCAGAGGTTGGCAAAAATGGTTCCATTTTGCATACTGATCCTTTCACAGGAGCAAAACTGCCCTGTGTCTTCTTTAGTGTAAGAAATTGAGTTATACTTTTGCTCCACTTTTAGTATGTTTAGCTGCTTAGCACATGATCAAACGTTTTGTAAATGAGGGCCATAGGGTTATAAAATGTCACATAGCCATATCTCCCCCAAAATACAAACAAACCAAAAAAAAAAATGTAAATAGCAATTCACTGTTTAACACAGTGAAATACCACTATGATTTGTTTCTCAACCTATAAACTTAATCACACCATTTCTTTTAAACCATTTTAGATCAATATCGAATGCAATGTAAAATCTACTGGTATAGATCAGCTCAGTACCTGGGAAAAAATACTTCCTTAACAGAACAAATTGGTTCAGTAGGCGGTGTATGTGTATTATATTTTTAAAGAAAATAAACAGACCTGTTCTGTGTATGCTGTAATTATTTAATCAGCATTCTATTAAACTAATAACTATATTTGGCAATTTTCCTGCTAGAACATGAAAATAATAATCAAATTGTGCAGTACTAAAAACCAGGCAAGCCCCAAACCCCACCCTCACACACACAAAATGATATGTGTTCTTGTGTTTCCCCTGGCCAGTGTCCGGTTCATATTATACAACCAGACACATAAAGGTTAACCTCATAGGAGTCAGTAAGTCGTGCACTCTTCAACCACTAGCATTTAGATTTCTTTATCTTTTCAAACTAGAAAACAGAGGCCAGCATTCAGAAAAGCTAAAGGGAGTTGGCGGACAAGGCATCACAAAGCCGATCCCCAGGGTGGATTATTGCTTGGTAAAAGAAATCTTTGAACGCGGACATTCTGTGGCACCACCATCAGCTCTCTCTCTGGGACCCACACTTTTTTTTCTAAATGTCATTTCTTTTGAGCCACATTTCTAATTTTTGCTCGGCGCTGTCTAAGTAAATAGGTCTGACTGTGAGTTTTTGTTCACTGATCCCAGGAGAGTAGTATGCATGCTCAGCAGAGAGACCTCTCACTGCAACCTCCCTCTAACATATTGATCAGGAATGGCTATTGGCGTTAGCCCCTGTGAATAAAACACTACTCAGCTGACTTCAATTCCCCTACTGAGAAATTGAATAGAAGCACAAAACTCTTAGCACTTTGTGGGCTGCTATTTATATCCACTCTTTTTTCTTTTAACATCATCGCCAGGTACAGAAAAAAAGCCAAAATGTCACTAACTGCAGAACTCACCAGTCTAGACTTTTGTAACAGATCAGGAGTGGCTAAAACTCAGATTATTTATAATACACAAGCAAGTAGATTGTGTGTTTGTTTCCGCCTCTGTGCTCAAAGTTTGTTGACATCAAAGAGAGGAATGCGCCTGACGTGTGCAACTCGACACATTTCCCCTCAGAAAGCAATAATCCCCCTGACATTTGAAATAACACGCACATGAAACACAACATTTATGGAGAATCAGAGAACAGCGTGCTCCGTTTTGTATTCACATTATGGGATCAAGCGTTTGCTCTTTTTTGACTTGTTCGTTTGAGATGGCAAGGGAGAATCTCTTTGTTCTTCTTTTAAGCAATGCCAATTTTATCATAAAATAATTGCTTTTTTTGTAATCCTTGTTCCGCTTAAAATGGTTTATAAAAGAAATCCATTCTTTTGAATAAATCCAAAGTAACAAAAGAACCAACCTTTGGTTCAAACAAGTAATAAAATATATAAGGTATATAATGACCCAAGCATTCACTGTGTATTCCCTGAGAATTGGAATGAATTTAATCAGCAAGTGATTTACCATATATCATTTATTTATTTAGTAATTAATTTATTTGTGTATTAATCTATGAGCTATGTATTTAATATTAAATAATAATGCACAGTCCTCATAATGAAATTTATGATTTATAAGTTCTTGCTCTCTCAGTGGTCCTTTGCTTTCTGTTTGGCTGGAATATAGGGCAGTACAGTTTGGGTGCTCTTGTCAGAGACAGTCTGTGTGCTGCTGTTTCGTAAGAGTTTTTTGCGGCAGCTGGGATTCTGCAGGCCTTTCCTGGGGAGTGTGTGAGGACCCGTTAGCCCCTTGACCGGGGATACATAGGAAGGTTCTAGACAGTTATGAAGAAGGGAGTGCTCTGAGGAAGAACGTTTGGGGGTGACAGGCACGGTGAGGACACTGGGCTCACTGTCGCTGTCCGGAGTGGTACAGCCGCTCTTGTCCTCCTGTAAGTCCTCCTGCTCTTCCTCCTCTGCCTCATCGTCATCGTCACAGCACAATGCATGGTACAGGATCTTGTCGCTGAAGCGGACTCTCTCTCTCGTGCCCGATGTGCGTGACGTCTTGTGGCTGTGTGTGGAGCTGCTGGCCTCCTCGCTGGATGAGTCTGGAGTGATGATCCGGGGCCCATTGGGGATTGGCAGCCCTCCGTTCATCTGGGAATAGACTGAGGCAGTGGATGGGGGTGGAGGTGTGGTCTGTGTGGGGATGGTCCCGCGGCACAGCTCTGATTGTGCGTCTCCCGTTTGCTCTCCACTGAGACTGGCAGCTCGGCGAGAGGTCACTCCTGCTGCCTCCAGGTAGCTGCAGAACTCCCAGCTGTCCGACAGCACATCTGCATTGAGGAAGTCCAGCCTGAAGGCCTCGCCCAGACCACGCTCACTGCTGGAGGTGCTGCTGGCCGTGGCCACTGTCCAGTCATCTGGCTCCAGGTCAAAGTCAAAGTCCGACGTTAGTTTGTCAATTTGGCCCACCACCTGCAACAACAAAGACAGGATAGAGTAAGTCATATGCATTATCTGTGTATTTCTTTTCCACCTGAACACACTTAAAAATGCAATAAATAAATAACATACATAATAGATATAGATGTAGATTAATTGAAAAAAAAAATCTGTTGCATAATAATGCAACTGAAAAGCAAAGCTGCAGTGTATTCTTTTTGGTGCACCTGCATGTTTATCAATAGTGTTTGTTTCTCCTCAGGCCTGAGTGGACAGGTGTTGCAGGTTAGATGTGTCTTAAGTATCCAGTGAAGAGCTGCTGTGGTCAGAGGATGAGTCATGCCTCATCAAAGAGTCTTGTGCTGCTCTAAGGGAAGATGAGTGAGGAGAGAGAAGCCTTTACAAGTGTCCAGACATTTGCTGTTGGGCATTCATTGAGTGACTGTGATGACATCACATAGTCACTATTTGCTCTTGTATTTTCCAGTTCCAGCCTCAAGTTTTTTGGTATCTTTCAATTTTTTACATCACAATTGTCAGATTTTTCCTCTTTCCTGCGAAGATTTTTTGCACATGTCACACATAGTTTTTGGACTATTAATTAAAAGAGACTTTGTTTCCATTTATTAATTGTAAAGGGCTCCGCCCTACTAGATACCTTACATTGCACTTCTACAGTATATACAAATAACCAGAAGATGGAGCCAAAGTGTCTCTTACTTAAAATTCTACATAAAGCTACTTTAACCTTTTAACATATTTCATTGCAATCAATATTAACACTTCAGAACACTTTTCACTTTTAACCTGTTACTACCGTAACACCTCAGACTTAGAGCATGCTGCGCCAAATGTTAAGAAAAAAAAGAACAAGAAGAGTATAACCCCTTTAACTTACATCTTTTTCAAGAGCAACATCCATTTTCATGTCACAATTCTTTTACAGTTCGTCTATTTTTCTCTGATAAATAATGTTACACTTTGTCATTGGTCTAGTATTTGATTAATAAATGCCAGTTCTGTCGACTGTGTTGTGATTTGTTGTACATGGCACAAGATTGAGTTTATTTAACAGAAGAAAAAAACAAAGCTAATCCGACTGCCCTGACTCCAGTGAGTCATAACATGCTTATGCTTTCTTCCTTAGCAGTGCTGTGTGGCAGCCTGTGCTGCTGGTTAGCCTGACCCTGCCTGCAGTGGAGTATGTAGGCTAATTTAGCCTGATAAGTGTCCCTGTCTCTTTCTAGGTCACAATGCAGCACATGTTCACTGCACCAACACTGAGCACTGGGCTCTGCTGTTTCCACCACATTGTGTCATGAAGTTAAGCATATTGCTATAGCACTACAAAAATGCAGGAATCTGTCAGAATAAGTATTTTAAATTCATGCTGGGTGAAGAATAGAAAATGTAACACTACAAGTAATCATGAGACTATAAAGCAGGCAGACACATCCGCAGTCATGCATTAAAAGTACAGACAACAGCAGTCTTTCTGGCTGTACCATATAGTAGTTCCCTTTGGGCAATGAGCAAAAGAAGTCATGAGTGCAGGATTTATCAAACACTGCATGCGTAAACAGAATTAGTCCAGCGCTAGTTCCCTATGCAATTCCTCCTCATGTTTACTGTGCCAACACTTAATAGCCCTGTGCAGAGGAGTCTTAGCCAGAATAATTAAAACACCTGTTTGACTTAATGGCAGCACACAGTTACAGGCCTAAGCAGCTGTCTACAGGGACACACTGGTCCAGATTTCCGCCCCCATTTGACTTGTAGCAAAGTATGATACGAACTAATGTAACAGGCCTTTTGGATGAGAGGGATTGAGACATTGAGCCACATGTCATCTACAGCTGTGCACCTGAACAGGGTTGAGTTGTTTTGAACTCTCAGATGTACTTCAAGGCATATTTTGGCTGCAGCATCAGGCAACGACAGCTTAGAATTGTACTCTGCACCTGTCGGAGTTGTTTAGCTTGGGTTAGTGGGGGTCAGAGTGAGGCCTGGCGCTCATCTGCTTTGGCAGCAAGATTCACTGTCAGACAAAAATAAAGCAAAGATAATAATTGTCTTATTGTCCATAATGGGAAAATTCATCTGAGTCCCTTCAAAAGCTGGACACTGATGTTTGGGAAATTGCTTCATTGTCCTGTATCATTCTGACTGTACATAATTTCAGTTTGTGACTGTGAATAGTTTGTTTGTTTATTGAAAGACATTGGTGGAATTCTTAATCAGCTGTTGTTACTATGTTTTGTAAACTAAAATATTATTCTGTGTGTACCTTGTTGCCAGCAGATGGCACAATAAGTGAATCAGTTCTCTCATCAAAAACATACTTGAAGTAGTTCTATATGTCACTAATGCTTGAGTAATCTTGTGACCTCTCATAATCACTATTCAAACCCTCCTTATGGTTAGCAGTACGATGCTGTACAATGCGGCTCAGCCCCCAAGCCCATGTAACCTCTGCTCCAGCACAGCCATTTTTCATAAATATACCAAAGCAGGATCAAAATCATACAATACAAACAAATGAACTTGCTGCAAAATGCAGTAGTTTCATGGGAGAATGCACACTGATTGTGTTGAAATGGTACTTTGAAAGAGGAATGATGCAAAAAACTAGTTTAACATTTTAATGTTATTTTCAGTGAATATAGTATTTTCAAAATAATAAAAGGTAACATGGTGATCTAAATATGTTATGAGTTAATAATTAATAAAGAACATTCATAGACTGCTTTGCAATGAAAAAACTGACCAAAAAGTAACTGTAAATTCCAGCAAAGATGTGTGCTCGCAGAGTTGCATAAAACACAGGACAGTCCACAAACATGCTGTGTGTGTCAAATTAGTTTCACATTATTAGAAGAGTAAAGAGATTAAAAACTAAAATATGATCCATTCAATTCTAGCTCTACAAACTTATTTAAAACGCATATGTGTGAATGCGCCATGCATTGCATCATTACACTATGTTCAAGTGGCCCCTCTCCATCTGTTGTGTTGCCACCCGCTTCTTCCTGGATTAATTTTCATATGAGACTGAGAATATTTTGCTGCACTTGTTTGTTAATTATGCAGCACCCAGCTTCAGGCACAGAGTAGGCTTTTAATGATGTAATCTGAAACGTTTTCACATGTATTCACCACAGCCAATAAAGCACTTTTTAAATGTTATTTCTTTCTCTCAACATGCCACAGAGTTACTGCATGCTCCAGTGCAGCTCTTTTGGGCCTGGAAGCGCTCGATGTCAGATAGGAGGTCTCAGCAATTATCTGAATGGCCTTGCATGCTGGCACCAAAAGAAAACATTAGCAAATATTGTTTAAATGTTGCTAGCTCCTGCAGCTTTCAGAAAATGTTACACTGAAAGCATTTTCTTACTAACATTCCTTCACTTCGCTTTCTTTCGATCAGGAGGTCCCACACTAACAACTAAGCTCAATCGGTCATACATATTACTGGAGGGTAAAGGTAACAATGCAAATCCAAGTAGTTTAGTTTTACATAGTGACAGGTGGAACAAATTTTATGTAATAAAAAAAAAAAAAAAAAGACATATTACTTCACATAATCATGTTGCATGCACAGTTTTTGTTGTAGTTTCACCAATTGAATTTCACCATCCCCTTTTTAGCACCTCTCAATTGTTTTATTTTTTATTTTTTTGGTTTTCAGAATGCAAGGCTAGTACCATCTGCTGTAGTTGTAATAAAGAAAATGTCACGGCTATGGCGAACAAAGTCATATGCCCTTTTAATCTAGTATGAGTGAATTCATTTACCATTTAAAAATCTAATCCAAAACCCAGGCCTATATGAGATTCCACTATATATTTATTTGACATGATACCCATATTAACTGTATGATTCTTCCCCAAGCATACACATCATGTCCTTGCACTCTGTGACTCATGTTTCTGCAGCAGTAACACTAAGTATTCACATGTAAAGTGTAATGTGCTCAAGTCCTGCGGATTGGAGAGGATCTAGGCTGGCCATGCTTTAGACATGATTTATGTCAGGCTATCCTGGTTGGTCAGACTTTCTATAATGTAGTGTTGAGGGGCTGAGGGGATGAAGTGCCCTTTGAAGTGTATGCTGGAAGCAGTTGGCATAATTATGCTGTCATGAGAGAAGCTGTAAGCACTGCGACTTCATTAGCAGTAAATATAACAATGAAATAAATTATAATAGTAGAATAAATGTGTTATTTATTAAAATAAAATATGATACATTTTATAAATGAAGTAAACATTGAACAGTTTGAATCTTAAACTTAAAATATCCGAACTACCTCTACAAAACCTGCTAAATCTAAAAGTCTGGTGGTTTGTCCAACCAAAGAAACAAAATGGAGACTTTGTACAACAGCAGATGCAGCATACGCAGCTATGACAGCACACACTGATCATTTATTGAGGTTCTCCTTCATTGCCTGCGCCTGTGCTAAGGCCTAGTACTAATGACCAGAAAAAGATGGTAGTGGCACGCTACAAGGATCTGCAGTCTGTTTCCCAGAGATAGTCCCCGGATTAGACACAAGGACTGTCAAATGATGCTGGCCACATGTAAAAAGCAACCATGCTGACCTATTTTAATGCTGATTATCAATGTAGCTTGTTCCTCTGGAGGCCAGCCAAAAAAAAGGGTGTAGGGTTTGTCACATTGTGCATTTATGCACGTGAGAAACTAACCTCTGAACAAGGTCAATGTGCAGTGATTTTTTCAATATGACAATCTGAACTGCCAGTTTCTGTGGAGGCCAACAGAGACTGAATGATGTCTGTTTTGTCATGCACTGTGCTGCTTGTCAGCTGGCAATTGCATTGTTGAAGAAGGAAATCACAAACTGTTAAGAAAAACTTTTAAGCAGAATGTAAAATGCAGTATTTAACAGTTTTGTTCCCAAGTAATTTTGCTGCAGCACTAATAAAACAGCCCCTGTCAGCTGCCATTAAATGTGCTATGGTTATTCTAAGCATTTAAATTTCCAGGAGTGTGCCATTACTGTATAACTTCTG